AATAACCATCAACACCGAACTTTGACAACGCTGACCCCAAAAGCAGTTCACAGTCGTCGAGCGGCACCACAATGATAAATCAGATAATCCGATTTCTCTCGTTGCGTTTACATCGCGTACAGTAGTTCCATATGTTACCATTGCTGAGCAAGCGTTTGTCATCAACATCCTCCGCAGCACCCTGTCCGAAAGCGAAGCTTTCACCCTGTCCCCAGCGCGCATGCTGTGTCCATGACCACGCGCATACCAGGAACACTGCTCTAAAACGACATCCCAGTCAACGTGTTGCTTCAGGCTCCGGGTTTCTTTCCTCTGCGCCTTTGACAGGTGCGGCGGCGGTGGATGGCACACGCCCAGGAAAGACGGCTGACTGGCAAAAGATGGATAGCTGCGTGGATGTCCCGCACGCCAGGATTGTAGTGTTTGGGACGAAGTGGCCCTTGGGCACCATCCAACCTTTCTCTCAAGGGGCTGCTCTTATCACCCTCGCCAGTCCATGTGATTTCGCCCTGCTGCGTGGCGTAGCGGAGTCGTTGTTCATGTACTCTAAGGTTTTTCGATTTCCATTCGTGAGAAGCAGAGCACTAGCAAGGCTTCAGGCTGCTTTAGACAAACTTCATGTATTCCAAAAGCTGGCAGGCTTAGTAGGAGCGCTCCTACTCTTCCAATTTCTTACTCCCGTATTTCTCACAAGAAGGAGAATGGTTGATTATGAACATGGTCTGTTGATCTCGTGCTCGTTGATCGAACCCTAGCGATTGAAAACATCCTGCCACAGAGGATTACAGTTGCCTAAGATATTGCTTGCTCTGCATTCAAAGTGTTTGACATTGGTGTGATATACAGACGCCATTTCGTAACAGTCGCCTGTATATGCGGTGTTCGTGTCCCAAAAAGTACTCATTGGGCGTTATAATGCGCTTAATCCAGGATATTTCTCCGTGATGCGTAGCAAAAGCCGCACGCATACCTAAGTGCTTAGAGCCGCCCGTTCTGTAAATTTGCGATGCCCGCAAGTTTTCATCCACACCGCACTCTGTTCCTTCAGTTCCTCTTCCGCCTCACCTTTGCCAACCTCAGCCTTTTCCAGCGTCCCGGGCGGCCTGTTGAATATCACATAAATGAATAATTTTTTGCACATAAATTGCACATAAATCGTGCCCGGGTGGTGGTGGGGACAATATGAACCGCTCAAATAAAAAACTAAGAAGCGAGGGGCGCCGACTCACAAGGTTAGAAGGGTTCTATCTGAACTCTCTATGGTCAAGTTTTGAGGTACCTAGATTGTGGTCTTCGTATCAGACTAGACCAAACAAGTTTAAAGTCCAGGTCTGTACCTTGAACTATGTGTATATTTCCGACTTGGCGGTCGGTGGGAGGTTTCATCGTCACGATTAATGATGTAGCACCTCTTTCCTGTCTCGTATCGTGTCATGAACGGCCTGGATGGGTAGCTGATTTCTTAGCAGTGGTGACTTCATAGACACATTCGGATTTACTTTTACCGTGTAGGTCAGTTCGTTTTTGATTTATTTATGCTTTATATGAGAGTTTCTATGCGAGCAGTCACAGAAATGATGGGTAAGGAATGCTTAATGTCAGGCCCTACTCCTCTCTTTTCTTTCTCGCATAATTTTTATGATATAGTCATTCGGTACAGGTTAAAAACACGGATGCAGTGTTCCATGCTTCGCTTTTAGCCGTCTATCAAAAATGATGCACCTTTCCATCGCTTTTATTTCCCCTCCCCTTGCATTTGTACCCGTTGACGCAGCCAAAGGCGTCCTGCCTCCCCCACCAGCCTCTACCGTATATTTGTCAAAGGCTTATTTGGGCGCTTGTACACACATCCGTGTCCGGACATACTCGCATTTTACCGGCAGCTTGAAAATCAATGCAGATTATCCGGTCTCACGACATGCATGATTCAGTCCTGTTGACCTTTCGCCATCGCACGCGTGCCTTCCCCCGCACGCGATCTCCGGCACATTGGGGTGCCCAGCGTGCGGCGCCGGCGCAGCTTCCAGGGAGGGGGATCAACAGCCTCTCGTTATTTGTGGCGGTGGTCACGTCCCCACCAAGGTTCCGGTGGCCGTGGTGGTGGGCTATTTATTTAGTTTACTGTTCGATCTGTGACGTATCCTCCCGCGGATTTCCGCAGCAGCGGGATCGCGGTAACCCCGACATTCGCGGCAGACGGACCGCGGTGACCGAGGATCTTCGCAGCAGACGGACCGCGGTGACCGCGGATCTTCGCGGCAGCGGGACCGCGGTGACCGCGGACCTTCGCAGCAGACGGACCGCAGTGACTGCGAACCTTCGCAGCAGACGGACCAAACTGACGGTGACGGATCGGGTCAAGCCTAGGTCATTTTGGCGTCCACCGTCCCTGTCTGTTCAAAGTAGCTAAACAGAGCGCGCTTCGAGTGCCTCGGTGCGTTCGCGGGGCACATAGCAACGACGCACGGGTCCCAGGTCAGCCGCCTCGACTGACCTTGGCACCGACTGTGGCGTCGGTCACAACGCGTCAGACACAGGTCAGCCGCCTCGACTGACCTTGGCACCGACTGCGGCGTCGGTCACAACGCGTCAGACACAGGTCAGCCGCCTCCAAATGACCTTGACACCGCCGGTGGCGTCAGCGACATGGACGGATGAAGCCGGCAGCGCGGGGGAGCAGGCGGCCGCGGTTTTTATCGCATTCCGCCAGCCCGACGGGCGGCGAAGCTGGCAGCGGGCCCGGTGACGGGCGGCCGCCGCCGGCCGCAGTGCGGCGCGTGGATCTGTCGGGGGACCTCAATGTCGAAGGCCTGTGACCGCGGCCGGCACCTGCTGCTGCGGCTGCCGCCGGCGCGGCCGACCGCTGAGCGCCCAGTGCCACGCGCCAAGGGGCCGCGGGACCGCGATGGTGCGAAGCGCAACGCGTGCGCCTACCCCGCCGACCCCATCTGGAACGAGGCCGACCTCTTCTTCTACTCCGAGGGCGCCGGCCAGTGCGAGATCGCTGAAGGCTTTCGGGCGCTGCGCGAGTGCATCGAGCGGAGCGGCAAGCGAAGCGCAACAGCAAAGCCTGCGGTCTGTTCTGGGTGTGTGAGGGTCCAGTGGGGAGCGGTAGGGGTACCGTAGAAATGGTGGTCGGTCCCGGTCGCGCCCGGCGATCCCGGTTGGTCCAGTGGGAAGCGCTTGGGGTTTCGTGGAGACAGCGTCGACCCTTGGTATGCGATGGTCTTGTGGGGAGGATGTGGGCCTCTGCCAGTTCTGGGTGTGTGAAGAGCTAGTGTGAAATGTTGTGGTGTTCTGTGGCGACAGTCGGTCAGTCCTTAGCGTGTCAGGATCCAGTGGGAAGTTATGGGGTACCGCAGGTGTTCACAGTGGCCTGCCCTGGGTCGACTGCCAGTGTGAATGTGTGGAGCGCTTCAGAGAAACCGGCCAGCTCCGAGTCTGTGAGGGTTTGGCGGAGAGAGGCTGGTTGCAGCAGGTGAAATTATCGGTGTCGTGCATGGAAAAAATATACATACACACATATATATATATATATATATATATATATATATATATATATATATATATATGTCTGTGTGTGTGTGTGTGTGTGTGTGTGTGTGTGTGTGTGTGTGTGTGTGTGTGTGTGTGTGTGTGCGTGTGTCTGTGTGTCTGTGTCGTTGTGAGGTTGTAACGGGAAGAATACGGGGCGATTCAAGTGCGACGTAAGTCGTTTCAAAGTGTTCAAGTAGCGAGTGCAACGAAATAAAGGTGCGACGTTTGAGAATGGAATAATTCTCAACACTCGCAACTGCGCCTGTGCATTCCGGTCCGGCCAGCGGGTCTGTCCCGCAGTGGATGGGGTGGTTTCGTGTATGAAGCGCCGTGCCAAGCTCGAATTTCCACACGGCATATGGCTCGTTGCCGAGACTCGTGCTCTAAGCGTAACTGGCTGTTTAGCAGCACGGACACGCCTGGTGCTGGATGAGGAGGGTGTGTTTGTGCAGAGCTGGGACCGGGTGGAGGAAAGTGGTGTGAATCCAGCAAAGTGGAAGGATTACAGGATAGCTGTCGGGCCTTGAGTTTTGCAGGTTAGCCGGTAGAGACACACTGTCACCACCCGCTCTCCTTCCTCTCCCCCCCCCCCCCCCTCCCTCTCTCTCTCTCTCTCTCTCTCTCCTCCTCTCTCTCTCTCTCTCTCTCTCTCTCTCTCTCTCTCTCTCTCTCTCTCTCTCTCTCTCTCTCTCTCTCTCTCTCTCTCTCTCTCTCTCTCTCTCTCTCTTTTTCTTCATCTCGTCATCTCCTTGCCTCCCGTCTCGCCACTCTGTCCCCCACTCACTCTGCCTCCTCCTCGCTGCCCTCTCGCAACCAGCAGTCTCCCTCTACCTGACCGCTTGCCTCCCCTGCGGGCACACCGGCGGCGACTGCACAGGCACTGGTCATGAATTGTTAAATACCCTATCCGGCGCAGAAGGGTTGCGTGCCGTCGCCGGCCGGTCGCTAACAAGACAATAGCCGCGTTCGTCGGGCGTATTGAGCGGCGGCCGGCGGCCGGCTGGGGTCGCACCGCCGCCGCCGCCGGCGCCAGGTGCGCCGATCGTCGCCAGGGGGCACACTGATGTTAGCCGGGTCAGCCGGCCCGAGCCGCGGCGTCAGTTCGGGGCGCCAGCCGGGTCAGCTGGCTCGAGCCGCGGCGTCAGCTCGGGGCGCCAGCCGGGGCAGCTGGCTCGAGCCGCGGCGTCAGCTCGGGGCGCCAGCCGGGGCAGCTGGCTCGAGCCACGGCGTCAGCTCAGGACGCACAGGCCGGCGGACCTGATGTATGCTGGCTGAAGGCACCCATGACGGGCGGGCCGACTCCGTCACGTAAGGTGGTCAGCGCCGCCGGACGGACCTGACACAGATCGACTGATTCAATTGCTGTCACAGGTGATTCGATGGGTGTCATGGGTGACAGAAAACATATCGCTGGTAATTCGATTGGTGTCATGGGTGACAGAAAACATGTCTGCTGGTGTTTTGTGGGCATTGTTGCGTAGTTCGTCCAGTAATGTAGCGCTCTGGCCGCGCGTCTGGGAAACCAGGGCTGCGGGGCTCGATTTTTATCGGTGCTCGCTAGGGCAAAAGGTAGGCAACGCGAGTCAGCCTGATCAGCTGTTCGCGTTGTAAAGATCCAATAACGACGGCGTGTATCTGCGTTGCTATGCTATGCGCTGCTACGAAACCACTTGATGACGTTTTTCGTTGGCAGAAGAGCTCTCGAAGCGTTTTCAGTAGCGAAAACGTGGCTTATCCGTGCTCCAGTGGCGAACACACCCTGTGGCTGTTTTCGGTAACATGACGCTCCAGGGAAAGCCTTTCAGCGGTGTTGTGGCCTTCGGGCGCGCGGCTGAGAACTGGCACCTGTTATTCGGCCGGGTCTATTCAGTCAGACAGTGTCCTCATGCAACACCGCCGGCGGTGTGGCTCCGTAACATCAGACATTCAGGGCGGCGCTGAAGCTGCACAATCATTCATGGGCGTCGGGCAAAGCAGAATGGCCGTTCAGCGCATCAGATCGACTGCGTCCTCCTGTGACTGAAATATACTTTTAGAAGTGGGTGATCCTGTTCGGGATGTTCGTGCGAGCCATACCAAGAGAACGAAAAAGGCGTCTTGATATTGCTGCGTTGTTTGATTTGCTGCAGTCCTACCAGCATGACCAGCGCAGTGGTGCCACGCGTGTGCGAGCCTTTTGCCCAGCAGCTCACCCAGAGCCGGTCCGTAGGCTGGTCGGGCGTTCCTGCCGGCTGTCTCGTGGCACGGCACGAGGGCGGACTCGTGCTGACCTCCAGAGTCAGTCCGTAGGCTGGTCGGGCGTCCCCGCCGGCTGTCTCGTGGCACGGCACGAGGGCGGGCTCGTGCTGACCTCCAGAGTCGGTCCGTAGGCTGGTCGGGGCGTCCCCGCCAGCTGTCTCGTGGCACGGCACGAGGGCGGGCTCGTGCTGACCTCCAGAGTCGGTCCGTAGGCTGGTCGGGGCATCCCCGCCGGCTGTCCCGTGGCACGGCACGAGGGCGGACTCGTGCTGACGATGTCAACGAATGCAACCCATTTACTGTTTTGCTTTGTTTTTTTTTTGGCGGGGCTGGGCTCAATGGCATATTTGCAACCATGTGAGAGCAAGGTCGAAAGTGAATTTAAAATCACCACTGCGCAGACACTTACCAGTGGCATATGTATCCATACAGGACAGGCGGGTGGGGGGGGGGGGGGGGGGAGGGGTAGTATCATCTTCGTCTTTTGGAAGTAGGGGTTATTTGTTCGGAATATCCCATATAGTCTTTTGATAAGAGGAGGTGACCGTAATATCCTCTTTATGACGGGCCGTTCCTCCTTGGTGCTGGCCGTTCGGTACCCGTCAGACTACAGATGAGATACCGCATGATATTGCGACGCGGCGAAATGCGCTCACCAGATGGCAGTTCCCATGGCCTTAGAACTTCGGTATGAGCCGGAAGCCAGAAAGGATAGGGGTACGACTAACGGGGGAGAATGTAACAGAGTGGTAGACAATTTATTCTGCAAGCCGAGTAGGGAGACATTGACATGTCACGATTTTCCAAACATTAAAATCGCGCAAAAATGCAGGATGCACCGACATGGCGAGAATCGTGCGGCGCTGTGTGTGATCCTACTGCTTCAGGTCAGCACCCATGACCTCAATGGTGAAGTAACTTAAAAACAGGTAGCGCAACGGTCCGAAACGGTAGGACTTGCCGCATGTGCTCAGATAGCACAACGTTTGTTACATGACAACGAATCCAATTAGCTCCCTCCGCCAGCTACGCAGAAAGGCGATAAACATCAGCTATCGTCACCGTAAGACAATACGTCTATTTTTCACATGATCTACCAGCATATTATCGTCGCAGCTATGGCAGTGCTGCATTTGCGAAACTACATTTCCCTTGCAACATGTCGACAGCCGGAGGGCAATATAGGGACCATGTCATATCCATCCGGTCAGCGACATGTAGGATTCCGTCCTGTCCCCCACCAGCTAGAGGTACTCGGAATCCCCCTCCCTCCCCCGCAACCCTCTCCGGCCGGCGCTCTCGGCTTTACAGGCGGGATCCGTGCGGTGCGAAGGGACATAACCCGCCCCAACGTGGTCGCCTCGGCCCAGCGGTGTATCGCCGGTTGTTCTTCACTTCGGGTTCCTTGCACCTCTGTCGATCCTCCGGTCCGCTCCCCCCCCCCCCCCCCGCCGGCATCACAAGCAGGAGCTTGGGACAGCGTGGTGGGACACAGAGCGTCACCATTTGACGCCCGTCGCCGAGCCACCCCTGCAGGGGTACGCCCGTCCCCGTACGCTGTCCCGCGCCGCTCGGCAGCAGCTGCAGCCCGGGCCGGGTCCCCCGAGACCGTGGGCGCGTGCGGCGCATCGAGACACCCCCAGGCCGTGGGCGTGAGCGGCGCACGTGACCGAGGATCGGCAGTACGGGACACTCCGAGGCCGTGGACGTGTGCGGTGCTCGTGACAGAGGATCGGCAGTACGGGACACTCCGAGGCCGTGGACGTGTGCGGTGCACGTGACCGAGGATCGGCAGGACGGGACACTCCGAGGCCGTGGACGTGTGCGGTGCACGTGACCGAGGATCGGCAGTACGGGACACTCCGAGGCCGTGGACGTGTGCGGTGCTCGTGACAGAGGATCGGCAGGACGGGACACTCCGAGGCCGTGGACGTGTGCGGTGCACGTGGCCGAGGATCGGCAGGACGAGACACTCCGAGGCCGTGGGTGTGTGCGGTGCACGTGGCCGAGGATCGGCAGGACGTGACACTCCGAGGCCGTGGACGTGTGCGGTGCACGTGGCCGAGGATCGGCAGGACGAGACACTCCGAGGCCGTGGGTGTGTGCGGTGCACGTGGCCGAGGATCGGCAGGACGAGACACTCCGAGGCCGTGGGTGTGTGCGGTGCACGTGACCGAGGATCGGCAGGACGGGACACTCCGAGGCCGTGGATGTGTGCGGTGCACGTGGCCGAGGATCGGCAGGACGGGGCACTCCTAGGTCGTGGGTGTGTGCGGCGCACGTGGCCGAGGATCGGCAAGACGGGACACACCCAGGTCCCCGCTGGTTGCAAGCAAGCGTGGAGACGTCACAATCTGCGTCAGATCAAAATGACACTCTGCATGGCTATAATACAGCTGAAGACCTGTGGACACAACTGAATGCAATATGTTCGCCGGCGGTATAAAATCAAGCAGCTTCGTTGCATTCCACCACAACGCTCTGGTATTCTTGATTTGCGCCGGCCCACTGGAAGAATGCTGAAGAAATCGGACAAAAAAGCGGCCTTGAGTGAAGAAGTTGCAGATGCGAGAAGGAACGATACCAATGGGGCCAACAGCACATGCATCACTTCTATATAATGCAACTTCCAGCATGTTTTGACAGACCAATGCTTTTAATTACCTTCCTTCATTTCGGCCGTCATCTTATCTGCATGTAAACCACATGCTATTTCAGATCTGGACGTCAAGCCCAAGCTCATCTATCTAAACTGCAAGGTTATAAATCATTCAAGAAATCGTCTTCAAAGCGACGGCGCACGGCTCACGAGGAAGGCGGGCCGGCGTCGGCTGCTACCTCCGTGGTCCCGCGGGAGGGGACCTGTGTGTCGTCCGTGGTGTGCTGCTGCAAGTGCTGTCCAGGCACGTACGTGCCAACGGGACACATGCCAGCTCTGTGGGCGTGCTGCGGGGGTGCGGTCACAAACCCACCTGGACGGCGGCGACGACGATAGATGTGGGCAAGATTTTTATTTTCTAAAATTGGCTGGACGGCGTTATAAGACAATAGATATGACCTAACCTTCCCGCTGATCCTGTTATCTGTTGGATTTCGGCCACCTTGGCTTGCGTTTCTGATGTCAAAATTAGAACAAATAGAAAATTTGGTTGGCTTCAAAATTGTTTTAATGTTGGAGAACTACTTCCCATTTGAGACCGAAGCGATAGTGATGATGATATAGGATGATATTTACAATGATGCGTTTGAGTTACATTGTGCGTCATGAGTGCATGAGTGCACTAGATACTAGCCGAAGTTCACAGGCTCTGTATTCCTTTTTTGCGCATACGCATTGTTCATATGCATGGGGGGGGGGAGGCAGAGGAGCTTTAAGGTGACTCACGTCAGCATTACGGGGAGGGAGGATGGGGGGGGGGGGGGCAGGCCACACGAAAGCATGAAATGTGAAACTATGGGCTCTGCACTTAATGATTACCGAGCGCAGGAGCAGGGTGATATATGTGTAGTTAGTACAAAGAAGCAGCTGACGCTCCATCTCAGCATATTCTTTAAAGGGATTTAGCACATCGAAGCGTTTCGCGATCCTATGAGCGAAAAAATCGCAAGCGGATATAGCTCTCACTCTAAAAACATGTAAGCCAACAACTGAACAGTGTGAATCGATTGCCACTTATTCAGTGGCAAGTCCGGCTCACTGCGCCGACATGCGGAGCTGGAAATGCTGTCCCCGTCGCTGGTGCCGTTTCAACAACCAGTCCTGCCATAGCACTCGTATCGGCGCAACTTTGGAAGGATAGCTCAGGGCCAAAAATGAAAAGTTTGCAAAATACATGGCATGGACCTGGAGGAGATGACGCAAATTGCTGTCTGTGTGACTGAACAAGTCATCTGTAATCAGGCCTCCCTTCTAAAAGCTCTATTTATCATTGTCTTACGTCAGCACAATTCAATATGTCTGCCCGTTGGTCTCATAGTCGGCCCCACTGCACCACATCGCACCACACCACACTGCACCGCACCACACCGCACCGCACCGCACCGCACCGCTCAATCGCACAGACGCGATGGTTCAATACTTGCGGCTGATGTGTTTACTCGTCTCTATAGAACCCTTGAATCAATTCATAACGACGACGCAGCTGCTCCTACCAAGACATCATCACCGCAGGCGGAACTCTGGCAGGGGCACAGCAACAACACGCCTGTGCGCGAACAAAGGGCTCATCTCGCGGCAGTCGTCGTCTGCGCCGTATTAACGGACGAACTGTGATGTGGTACCGCACGTTTTTAAATATCCACTCATGATGTTACCCTTACTTGCATCTAACGTCATAAACTTGTCACGTAGCACATTTGGACGTGTCGAAGCTTGGTCTTCTACTGAAGCGTTGTGAAAGGCTGCACCGCCCAGGGCTCACCAGAATAATTTTCTGAAATGGGAGGCATGGGTGCCTGCGCGAAACTTCATCTGAAAACCTAAACGCTTAATCACGTTAGATTGGCGATGTGGTCGTCTATAATTATTTCCGTATCCGTCGACTTCCAGCATGGAAGCACGTGGCAGCACTGCAGGCTATTCCATGCAGCCTTGTTATCCCACACAAGTCAGCCCATGCCACGGTGAGCGTGTTATCTATGGTCCCGTTCTGAAAATCACCACCATTCGAGATCCATGCTAAGCCAGTTGTCAGGCCCTCGCGTCGTGTCCTGCCATAAATGTCCGACGAAGTCCTGTCCACTGATGCCAGGCTTTGCTCACTTGATGAGATGTGAAAGTTGCTATGTGTGCTCATGTCCGCGCGACGAAAATTCCGCTTTTCCCGCGCCATTAGCCTGAGATAAGATCGGCGGCGGAGAATGTAGGTCGGCATGCGGGCAATGCAAAGTTCCGTCAGTCACGTCAAGCTGGACGCCATCGCAGCGAACAGCGACGATGTGAACGACTCCGAACAGCAACTGAAGGCTGGTGAAGTGGAAATTGGTACAGCCAGCTTGATGCTTGTCGTGTACCCTTTCTCGTATATCATCCAATGTTGATCTGCTGACGTCATTGGTCTGCAGGGTTCTAACACTTCTCCTGCACTTGCAGACATTCTGCGCCGTTTCTAAGAGGTTCAACAAGAACTACGTACACCGGTTTACTGCATCCAAGTCGTTCTTCATCTTCTCGCCGTGGAACCCACTGCGACGAACCTGCATATACGTCTCCACAAACCAGTTCTTCGACTACTTGGTCATGTTCACCATCATCAGCAACTGTGTGTTCCTGGCGATGACGAAACCCCCTGAGGAGGCCGAGTAAGTCTTTTACCATCGTCATTTATTGGTCAAGTTTTAACACCGTCAGAATAAGATTATATGCGTATATATATATATATATATATATATATATATATATATATATGTAAATATGTATGTATATACATATATAAACAAACGACGTTTTCCCCTCCTCCCCCGCTCGCAAACTCCTTAGGGCTCCACCGCCGCTGGAAGCTCCTGCAGCTCTGCGTGCGACTGACGGCACGGGCAGTGTGGAGCGGCGATCCCGGCCCCGCCGCGCCGGGCCGACCCGTCACCGGGCGTCTGGTCCCATTGTGTCCGGAGGCCGGGCGTCTCGGTGACGGCGGCGGCGGTGACGGCGGCGGCGGCGACGGCGGCGCGCTCCTTTGTGCCGCCACGACGGCCGACGGCGCGCCCCGTCGGCGGGGTCGGCGGCGGCGGCGGCGGCAGTCCCGGAGGCCGTCGCGCGTCGGCGATGACGCAAATTACACGGTGGGCGCGGCGCCGGTCGCGGTGCCGGCGTCAACAGCCCCCGATGTCACCGGCCGGGAGGAGGGCCCCGGGGCGCAGCCGGCGCGGCGGCGGCCCCCCGTCAGCGCCAAGCCGAGCGGAACGGTGCCCCGGTGTTGGACAGACACGCTATTTATGCGCCTTGAGTGCTGCGTGCCGGCTGATACGAGTACCGCGTCCTCGTTGCGTTACTGAGTTGTCATTTTTGCTTGCGCTCTCTTATTTGTGAATAGGTTCACATTGTTTTTTTCGGTGTCGGGATCCCTTCGAAAAGCAAGCGTTCCTTTGTTTTCGAGTTTTCTCATTTGCATGTAATCAGCGTGGCCTTAACATGTCAGTCCATTAAGCGTGCTGCCAGGGTAACGCAGTCGGTCATTTGCTACTTGACGGCGCATTCACTGCACTCTGGTTGCGGCTGTGACTCCGAAAATCGGTCTAATGCTAGATACATCACCATAGCCCTGCTTGCAGCAGCCTTGGTTTATAAGATCATGGCGACCGAGCGTAAACTGAGCCATTTTTAGTTACTTCCATTTATAACTGAATTTCCGATGTCGATTTGTCGAACCTAAGATGACTGAGCCGTCTTTGCCTTTCAGTTGGCCAGAAAGCAGCGGTATAGTTGTGACCTGTAAGCGCTATGAGCAGCCGTGAACCCAATTCACTTCAACAAATTATTATAAAGTCGGCTGCGCTACCTGAGGCTATAAATCTATTTTCGCATAACTTGTGCTGTGACAATTTGCTTGCACTCGCCACAAATTACGTTCGACGGAAAGCACACTTTTCTCCGTGACCCGCCAAGGTTGTGATGTCATGACGGTCCAAGGTCTGAGAACCCCTGAGAGGTCAAACAAAAATCCTAACTCCCGCCCTGTGTGAGAATAAATAGATATGTCACGCCCTGATACAGATTGAAATGGCTCTAATATAGCTAGGCTAACTTCACCTGCAACGAGTCTTCACTGAAAAGAAATCCACGCCACTACGGATAATTGGCAATATGACCATCAACTTTCGAAATTCGAGTTTGCAGTCATACCGCATGGCAAGGCACGACATGGTGTAATGGCAAGCTACAAAAATGGAAATTTGTACGCCAGAAAGGGTCACAGCAAAATAATATACCAGAAATATGCACCATTTCTCTAATAGGGTATTGACGAATTGGAAATGAACACTTAATGCAAACACGAACAAGCTGTCTGCAACTTTATCAGAGCATCCCGCCATCATTACGTTAAGTAACTTTGGTTACGTGAATTGGTTGCATGTTTCGGACATTGCGACGTGTTCAAGGGACAAGACGCTTGTTATGATGTTTCGCACAATACAAGATAGCGGAATGTGCGCTGAAAAATAATTTTTGAGGTACATTTTTACGAAACTGTGACACCTGGTTGCTCTACGGCTGCTTCTGTTTTGGCGTGGACGGAGCTTTCAAATAATGATTTTGCGTCGCTTCAGAAAAAGGCACTATTTTTTGGTGCGAGTAATTCATTTAAAAACATTTTCTAACGGATGTAGCTGTGTCGTTTGATATTCAGTTGCATGCCAAGTCGTTGCCAGCTTTAAACAACAAGTCCGAACGTTTTGGCTGGGCGGATGCCTGGTGCCAGCGTCCAGCTGGACGGATGCCTGGTATCAGCGTCCACGCTAAGCAGTGCTTGTTGCGTGAGCCATGGCCCTATCATTCTATCATCAAATTTCGCGTGAACGGCAGAGTCTTACAGCGACAGATCAACGGATCGTAATAGTCCCGGTATATTTCCCCAGTGGTCAACCATTGGCCGTCGTAGTATGTTCTACCACACACTGTACGACATTCATGTGTGTGTCATGTTAAAACTATGCTTAACGATGTGTTTGATATGCTGTTCGTATTTGTAACATATAGGACATTTCTAGGGTGCTGACATCATATCATTATTTTCATTTGAAATGTCATATGTTGCTGTAGCAACCATTGATATACCAGGAGGTACCGACTAAACGACCTTGTAGTGCGAAATAACGATCACATTCGCAGTATTTTTGACTCGCTTAATTCATTTCAAACTCTTCTTTTATAGATATGGCCCTGCCGTGTTTGTTAATTGACGCCTGATCTCCAGTTGGATTTTGAAAATACCAAATGTAAGCTTCTTGCTTGGAATTAATTTTGGTATCAGCGCCCATGCTAAGCACTGCGTGTTGCGTGGGCCTTACCAACATCCCATCGTGAAATTTCGGGAGAACGACAGGATTCTGCAGTGAGAGTCTTACGCACCGCAGCGGTCCTGTTTGGGTATCGCCAATGTGATCGTTATTTAGCATTACAATGTCGTTTAACCAGTTCCTTCTGGTATATCGGTGGTCATGAACTTAGCATAACGATTTCCAACTCATCATGCCGAAAAAACCAAGAGCTGGAGGCCTTTCTTATGTCAAGCACGCTATTACATGCCTTCGGGCAGTCTATACTCGGAGTAATTTCGGCACTGAACAGACGCGTCATGGGCTCATCTAGCGGTGACCATGGAGACGAGCTTTTAGGGCGGACCGGCAAAAACTCGAGCCGCCATTATGTGGAACCGAAAAAACAACCATAAAAGCGGGTACGTCCACAGCGATCATCCGCCAGCGTCAGAGACGTGAAATGTTTTTACGCTCAGCCTCATGCATGCTTGGGCTTGGCGTACGAGCCGAGTCATGTGACCCACGATGACAGCAAAAGTGCCGCCCGCTAGCGAAGGCGCGGGCGGCCGGCGGCGGCGACGAGGTGACCGAACCCGGCCGCTGCTCCACGGTCCGCGCCGCCGCCGGCGCCGTCGTCTCGCCGCGCGCGACTGCCGATCGACGACCCCGGCCGACCCTCGTCCGTCCCGACTGCCTGACTGATCGTACCCCCTCCCCCATCCCTCCTCCGGCGGACGAGGACCGGCAAAAAGCGGCTCCGGCGGCGGCAGGCCGCCGGAGCCGCTGTCCGCCTCGATTCCGGTCCGTCCGCCGATGGGGGCTCAGTCGACAGCTGTCCGCTCCGAGGGCGGGTCCGCCCGCCGATGGGGGCTCAGCCGGCAGCTGTCCGCTCCGAGGGCCGGTCCACCTGCCGATGGGGACTCAGTCGGCAGCTATCCGCTCCGAGGGCCGATCCGCCTGCCGATGGGGACTAAGTCGGCAGCTGTCCGCTCCGAGGGCCGGTCCGTCCGCTGATGGGGGCTCAGTCGGCAGCTGTCCGCTCCGAGGGCCGGTGTTCTTGACGACGGGACTCAGCCGGCAGCTGTCCGCTCCGAGGGCCGGTCCGCCTGCCGATGGGGACTCAGTCGGCAGCTGTGCGGGCGGGGCGGCATGTCAAGCCTCACGCAATGAAGACGAATGGTGTACTGCCCCGGCTGGCGTCGGCCGACTCTGGCACGCGGCGAGCATGGTGGCCACAGGCCCATACCGACGCCGCGCGGCATGAGACGAGGCGTCGCCTCCGGAAAAATATCAGAATTCGCATGCATGCATGCGCAGTAAATGTGCATGCACACATGCACGCCAAAAGCGTGGCGGGATCGGATGTCAAGCAAACATTTTCACGCTTGCCGCACAGCCGCCATCAGGCAATGAAGCCTGCCGGCAGAGCGCAGCGAAATGCCGGAGGTGTGATGGCGTCATAACATGGCGCAGGTGTGTAGTTTCCTATGCAGGCGGGGTCTTCCGCCCCTTAACTGCGAGAAGAAAACCAGACAAATGTCTGGAGGAGGCTGTTTTTTTCTGCGTTTTTAGATACGTTAAGACATTTTCTCGGCTCAGCCTACCCAGCTTGCTTTGTAAAGCTTCGCCCTGACATGGTCTTGTAGTGCTGAAATTGTGCTTGATTCCGTTCTTGCGGATTTAAGCGCAATGGCATGGCATCTTGAGCTCATTCCTTCGGTAGCGTAACATTGCAGGTTGACACATAAGGGAAAATATTTGTAGTATCTTCACACATTAGGCACACAAATAAATCTTAGTAGTATTTTCTTTACAAGAGCAATAAACCTGGGCAACACCAGACAACGAAAACATACCTAATGCATATGAGTAAAATCTTAAGTATATCCTACGCATCGCGGAAAATTGCCCCGGCTAGGTTAACGCACGGCTCATATCGGTGCACACTACTTCCGCGCCGCGCCCATCAGCGAAGACCGCCGTCTTTCAGCAGCGCCTGTTCCGTACACAGCGTGCTTCCGAGAGCTCTCCCCGCCTCCGGGACCTTCTGGCCGGATAGCCTTGACTTCCGGCGGCGGCACGTGCCCGCCGGACCGGGCGAGCGGCGGCCCGACGGCCGGCCGCCGCCAGCTATTGGAAATCCATGGCACCAGTCCTGCACCTAATGAGTTCCCGGTGCTTAAAGGGAAGGCAGATGCGGCCATTGTCCGTCTGGCCGGCCGGTCGAGCGCCGCTGCGCCTGCCGGCAACGGCGCCGGTCGGACCAAGGCTCCGGCTCTATTGACAACCGACTGCAATTTACCATCGGGGAGGGGAGTTTGAAGTGCTTTTTAAGTGCCCACTGAGAAATGCACAGCATTCTTTCTAGTTAGAGTCGTTAGGCATGTCCGTCGTCAACCATGCATTATTAAAGATGAAAGGTGCAGTTGTTTTCAGCATAGACGCTGATCAGCGAATACATGAAAAGCTTCCATTTGCTTGTCTTAAACGGCTAATTACGCGCATCCAGCTTGTTCCGGAAGCATTTTGAAAGTGCTACACGGGAGTTTCTTCCTTTATCAGGCCTGGTAGTGCAATTATGAAAACTTTTCCCCTACCTAAACCGCCTCGCGCCGAAACTCGACGCCAAGCTGCTGGATGAGGTAGCGCCACTGGTCTCTCTGCTCGCTGCCCCGGTCTGGCCTGCGACGGATGAGCAGGCGGCTGTCCGCGTGAGCGCGGCAGCGAGCTCAGCAGTGAACTGAGCTCAGCGTGAACTGAGCTCCCCAGCACGGAGCTCAGCCGGCTCGCGAACTCCGCGTTCAAAGGCGCGTGCTCTTCAAAAGCTCCGCGTGATCCACGGTGATAACTCCAGTCTCGCTCTTCCAATAACTCCACTTCATGCTCTTCGTACAAACACGGGTAAATGCCCGTTGGATCATTGTTGGAATGGCAACATTAATTTAGTGACGGGGTCTGTTGGACAAATACAAGGGACGCAATTGGATTCAGAGCGAGCGTGTGTCCAAGTCCGGTTAACCTCATACACGGAGCTATGGCTTCTTGACAGTATGTTTCAAAGAAATAATTACATTCTGCTGTAAATGATTCTCACTTGGGCTTCGGTTCACCAATTTCAAACGTGTAGACTCAGACCAAAGCTCATGTCCTATGCACAGCATCATATCCCGGAATAAGACACGGGTCAAAGACTCTGTAAACTTCACGCACGGACGACCCTTGTCATTTAAGTTTCAGCCAGGGATGAACGCTGCATTTAGAAACAAGATGCATGCTGAGAAGGCTACAGTGTGCTCTCAGACATATCATGGTGTGCCTCGGTGCTAGAGGTGCAACTTGTCCCAAACTATCGGCCCGCATCCCGATTCGCCAAGGCCTGCTGGGGTCTCGCAGGTGAAAGCTCCCTGTGCTTCAATGCTCGCCCGTCATAAACGCGCAAGTGCTAAGTTAATTGCTGTATGAATTTTGTCATTTCTTCTCAATTTCACGCGCATACACGCTTTATTAATTTTGTCATTTCTTCTAAATTTTACACACACACATGGTGTACATAAAATAACACATGTAAGTGCCATCTTATGCATACCATTGCTTGGCTGGCACAAGTGATCTTGCATAGATGGCGGCGATCAGGGTACCTGGATTAAGCAATTTGATTGTATCAGTGTGATGCCAGTTTCCAACTACAAAGGACGTCTAGGAGGGCATGATTGAAAACGGCCTGTCATCAAAGTATACCAGATGCTTCACATTTTCGTTTTTTCACGTATCCCAGCTTTCAGTTCTACCTCATCGCGGTAAACCACTGGCCATGTCCTCTAAAATTGCATAGATCAAATGATAGCTCTGCACTGGCAGAGTAAAACAACGACAACTGCTTCAGGTCATGGGAAGCCTTCTCAGTCCATTACACTGTTTATGGGGCACAAACAAGGCGATGCATACCGGCACTGACACCATTCGAATTCGTCACGATCGTCAACGCATCATGGTGTCATGAAAAGCGACCTGCGTCTGCGAAGTTCAGGCTGGGCTAAGCACATTTTGGGTACCGTTGCTGCGCCTAGCATGGCCGAGTGTTGGAACAACATCGGGGGCAAATCAATGTAAACGTCACACAAACGTCACGCAAACGTCACACAAACGCTTAGCGTGACAATGCTCGCACCGTACGTAATAACGACGTATTGTAACAACACTGTACGTAACAACGACGCTGGCCCTGTCCTGAAAATACGCAGTACGCACTGTTCTTTTCGGCTCTGCATTCCCAGCCAGTGGCGGAGAGCTCTATGTTTAAGTTGTTAATCGATAACCGTTGTGTCTCTGGCTACTGGACGCCCCGGTGCGTGCTACCAGTCTGACGTGAAGGGATGCCTGACTGGTTACTGTCGACTGAATGGCCAAACTACCAGTCTGACGTGAGGGATGCCTGACTGCTCGCTGTCGACTGAATGTCCAAACTTCCATCAAAGACTCGTTTACAAAGTGCATCATACATATTGATCTAAGGATGAGTCGTAAAAGGTTAGTGCGGTAATAATTGATACATTAAGGCCGTGATTCAAAAGCGCGAGAGCGTCTTTACAGCAGCTGGAACTCCGTTGTTTATGAAGTCTTGCGCACTGTCCTCATCAAAGCCTCCGGCCGTTTCCCCAGGTACATATTTCTGGCCATCTACTCGTTGGAAGCGCTGATCAAGTCGATCGCTAAGGGCTTCATCCTGAACAAGTACACGTACCTGCGCAGCCCATGGAACTGGCTGGACTTCATCGTGATCGTCCTCGGCTACGTCACGATCTTCGTCAACCTGGGGAACCTGGCCGGTCTGCGCACGTTTCGCGTCCTACGGGCGCTCAAGACCGTCTCCATCATGCCGGGTAGGTCTCGGGCCCTCAGTCTCCATCATGCCGGGTAGGTCTCGGGCCCTCAATCTCCATCATGCCGGGTAGGTCTCGGTCTCCCAGTCTCCATCATGCCGGGTAGGTCTCGGGCCCCCAGTTCTACACCGTCGCGCCAAAGGTCATGACCACGTCGCTGTGGAACGTGGGGTGTCTTCGCTTTTCACCGACATCTGGATCTGAAGCATGACTGTGGATGTTTGTCTCCTCCCCGTCTGGTCCACGTCCTGTCTTGTGGTCGGCCGTGACCACGTTATGTCACGTGTAATCCCTACAAACGCCAACGCTGTTGGCTGGTTGGAACGAAAAGAGGCTGAACGAATGAAAATAAAAAGCTGTTCATGGTTTGGAACAACTGAAAGGTATGCATGCTGCTACATGTCTAGCTATGAATGGCATCTTCTGCAATAGTTTAACGAGATGTCCCAACACACAATGCCCAGGTTTTGCAACACTTTTTCAAGGATGTTTAACATTCATTAAATGCATTTGATACATTCAAGGATGCTGGGTATAGTCAAAGCACACTGCAATGGACATCCAAGGGGGTGGTGTTGAGTTACCTCAAATCATCCATGCCCTACAATAGCATTGCCTCTGAATGAACTCATTGTCATTGCCATTTGCGGTGTTGACATTGATGCTTTTTAAAATTTAAAAGTTAAAATGTCAGTCATCCATTCATAACAATCTGAAAACATTTAATATTGACTAAAAACATGGCATCGGACGTAAATGAACTCGTGCTCTAAAACTTAAGTCTTGCGGGCGGAACACCGATTTTCCACGTTCACGATGTGCAGAACTTTATATGTTTTTAAGCGCGCCTCTAACCATTATAAAACTAGTTAGAATAGACAAAGCATCCAAACCAGATTGCTGGGACATTGGGAAGGGCGAGGTCCGAGTGGTGTCCCACCGCTTCGACCGGCCGCCCGGACCGCCGGAACATCGACCGCCGGCTCCGCGGCAAACAGTACACGGCGCAAACAGGCGTCACGGTGGCCGCGGGTCGGGCCACGCTCGAACAACGAGCAAACACGAGTCACGGTGGCCGCGGGTCGGGCCACGCTCGAATGATGACGCCCGGCTGACCGGCAGCGCCGAGTACCTGCCGAGCCTCCCGACAAAAGGCAGGCCTGGCTTGTTCGCGGACCGCGCGGGCCTCTGTGTGACGCGTTTTTCACGGAGGTCATGCTTGCTTGCAGAAATGCTTTTAAACTGCTAAAGGGAGTGCTCCATATTTGTATGGGTTTTTTAATTGAAGTAGCCATCTTGAAGACCTTTCGGTGGCATTCACCATCCTGCAGCTCTTCAGACTTGAGCTCCTATAGTTTCTCAGCTACACGGCCGCGAAAATGGGGAAAGGTATACCGGGGAGAGTATTTCAAAGTCGCCTCGGCGTTCATGATATCATGAGTCATTTTTTAAATCGTGCCATTCCATGACCGTCCGGAGATCAAGGCCGAGACAAATATAATTGCCAATGCGTTCACACCTGGCGTTCGTGAACGCCATTTCCAGATATAACGGCCGTCAACTGGCTCTCAATCAATTTGTGCATGGGACAATGATGTAATCAAACCGTGACGCATTAAGGAACATGTTTAATAGATGGAAATTTGTGCTGTGTGGAGCAGTCTTTCCCACTTCAAAAGTATACCAATAGTGACACGTAAGCTTGTTTCATCATATCTGGTGCTTGCTTCAATATCTTCAAGTGTGAAACATCCCCTTTAAGCAAATTGGTAAGAGGTGAAATTACGCGGCACCATAGAAAAAGTTCATGGATGAAATGTCACCAAATGGGCCGAGGAAAGGGTATAGTAGTCAGTGGTGCAAAATGCCTTTTCTGTCACCGACAAACCTTGGAGCAGCCTAAATTGCCACCTGGAACCAAATATATCTGAAACGGTTGCAATCAGGGACGACGCACCAAGGCGTGGGGTGCGCATAGGAGGCAGTCGCCCTCTTGCCGGCAGACAGGGGAGGGCAGCAAGAATATCTCTTTGCTACCTCAAAATGTGGGAGCCCCTTATGCTTAAACAAAGGCTTACGCATATTACTAAACTTCAAATAAACGAAGCTTCCATAACTCTGTAACTGATCGAGATGGTACTAAATGAGGCTCAGGAAACTTTTCCACATCAAAAAGGACCGTTTTTGGATCATTAGACTGCCTATATGACTAAGATAGCCCACACTCCTTTAGATCAGAAAGCTGAATTTTGTGTTGAGTGGGCCGTTTGTTGGCTGAGGAGGCCACGGTTATTAGCTAGGAGCCCCCGCCATGAATAGGAAGGCCTACGTTATGAACAAGAAAGCCCACGTTATGAACCAGGAAGCCTCCATTATGGCCTATGTCCCGTTATGAACTAGGAGGCCCTGTTATGAACTATGAGGCCCAGTTACATAGCATGCGGCCTCTGTTACGAGCTAGTAGGCTCCCGTTTCGAGCAGGAAGCCCCTTTATGAGGTGAGGGGCCCGGCTATAAACTGGGATGCCCCTGTTTTGAACTAGGGGTGAGGGTACTATAAAGCATAGGGCCTCAGTATGATCAAGGAAGGTCCATTTTAAACAAGGAACTCCCATTATCAGATAGAAGATCACTGTTCTTGGTTAGTAGGCAACCCTTATACATCAGGCCTAAGAGGCCCCTTTTCTGGCACAGAAAGTCCCTTACATGTACCCGGTCAGATAACTGTAGTTCGGGGTCAGCGTGCCCTGTTTTGGAATAACGAGACCCTGCTGGATTTTGGGGCCCACTTTGTCAATCAGAATAATCCCTTTCTGGATCTGGAAGCCCTCTTTGCATCAGAAGGATGTTTTCTGCACCGGAAGCCCTGTTTTCGTGTGAAGGGGCCCTTTACTGGACCGGGAAGATCCTTGTATAAATCATGAAGCCCCTATTCTGGATTGTTAACTGTCGACATTTCCCGGCATGGATATTAATGTATGTGACGGTGCGATCAGGGAACACGTTCCCCCGATGCCACTTCGCCCCATTGAATACAACATTGCCCAAGAGGTGCCCTATGAGGAGTCCCCATTTTGTCCAGAAGGCCGCCTAGAAAGATCCTGGCCCAGCTCGAAATTCGTGGTGCTGCCACTGATCATAAACAGAGAGCCTTCTAGATCAGCTGGACTCTTTAACACTATTACCAGGGGCGCCCTCAATGGCAGATTCTTAGAAGAGCCATACAGCGTCTCAAAGGATACTTATGATAAGCTACGTCCTTCCAGCCGCTAAGCTTCTCATGACACGAACACAACCAGCGGCAGCAAAGACAACGTCACATACGGCCTAACACTGAGCCCAGCTCACATTGCATGGCAAATATTCGAAGTCATCTGTCTCAAATGGCATAACGATTTTAAAACGACGCGTAGTAGACTGATCCCGCTCATCGCAAGGTGCATAGGTGCAAGGTGCATAGGTGCAAGGTGCAAGGCCAATAACCATTCCCATGACCATTGATAAGTCCAGTTATTTGGTGTTGTATGCTGTGTAGGTCCTGAAAGGAATCTGGGCTGAAAATCTGTGAAAAGCACCGGTCTGATGGACATCGTGTCCCGACACATGCTCTGGACAAGCTCATGCTGCAAGCGTTAGCGAATGCAGACCAATGCTACGCTTTCAGTGCCGTGCGATCGGGATGGTCCGATGGTTGTAATGCCATTTTCGGTTTCGTGATTTTGTCACCAAGCAGCTTGCAAAAGTGCCCTTGTTTGTCACCTATCATATCCGGTAAATCACAATTTTATTTTCATCCCTGTCGGTAATGACGCACGCCGCATAAGAAAAAAACATATGTTGCGTAATGGGCTTTGCACTATTGACAGCATTACCCATTATTAATATATGCCACATGGAGAACAGCGATACAGTCATTTCCTATTTTGCATTTTAGAAATATATTGACCGACCAACTCGAAAATATATTTACTGATTTGGTTGCGCTTTTGCCGAACATCTATGTCAGCGCCCCTGGATACATCCCCTGGAGCGTGAAGCAGTTATCTGTCAACGCCCTGGATACATCCCCTGGAGCGTGAAACAATCGTCTGTCAACGCCCTGGACAAATTCCCAGGGGCGTGAAACAGTGCTCTGTCAGCGCCCCTGGACACGTCCCTGGAGAATAAAGCAGTTATCTGCCAGCGCCCTGAATACATTCCCTGAAGCGTGAAACAGTGTCGCTGCGTTTCGTGACGTCCAGTGCTGGAGCCTATCATTTGGCGTGATTTCTCACCTCGCCATGACGTCGCTGGACGCGTTTCCACACGGGGGTCTGGAAACGCGTGCACAGACGTTATCCGGCACGGCATGCAGTCGTAACATGACGTACCGAGTATCTGCACGACAGCAGGCACTCGGCACGCCCCAGCAGGGGCGCACCCAGGGTAGGGGCCGGGGCCCCAGGCTCCTTAGGCCCGGGTTGCTAGTTTTCCATCTCAGATGGCTCCCGACGGAAAGTTCAAAATCGGCGTGATGTTCACTGAGCTTCAGTAAATCCCTAAGAAAATTATGGCTGCGCCCTTACGCCCCAGGTGAGGCGTGAACGAAAATAGACCCACCGAAAAGTCATCCTTGATTTGAATGTGTGGAAAGTCGGTCCGTATTCTCCCATATCCATCTTTATTTTTGATATAGATCCGAGTTGAGCACCACCTGATGGTGCTTTCACCATGGAAGCGTTGCAGTCCGCAGCGCTACTGCGCAAGACAAAATGCTAAGTTGCCATGTTCCGGGTGGTCGTTATTCGTTGTCGCTAAAAAAATGTTTTTTGGTTTGAGCGCACTAGTATTATTCTGACAAGATACCATTGAAAAAGCTGCTGGCAAGACTCAGTGCCCTTAGCCAGCTAGTATCCACCTGTGATGGCCGATCAGTTCGGCGGAATGCTGGAACGAGCAGCGTTCAGGACAAGCGCAGGGTCAGAAGCAGGCTCCTGACACAGCCCATCCTCTTCGAGAAGT